AATCGGATAACACGGATTTTTTATAACACGAAATCCGATTATTTCTGTTCCTTGGAATTGATGTTAATGAAGGTTTACTGTAGTTTACACTGTCATGTCATATTTCATCGGATACACAAGTGCTATCATGTAAGTCCACATCCAAACTTCAGTTATGATTTCTACGATTCATTTACTGATTCGTTAACCAATATGAAAATCCTCGAAACGTTTCATTACAAGGTACTACTTATTAAAATTACTAATTATCACTGGTTTGTGCGCAATTCACAATTACAGAAATACCTAGGAATTCAAATACTCGACCATTTCTTACAATATTTAAATTCATCATTTTTCTGAAATCTGTTTTAGTAGTTTAATCTTTATAGTAATTTTGATGAATATTGCGCTTCCTCGAATGTTTTCTCGATTTAGTTGAATGCTATTTTACAGAATCATTCCACATTGTGTCAATGGTTTCTTGATCTACGTTTTTTGCTAATTGTGGTAGGAGAAGAGCGAGAAATATGGATTACCACTGTGTTAGCAATATTCAAATCTCTAGTTCGTTGGCCGTTGTCTACACGTTTTCCGTAAATCGGGACCGAAAATTTATCTTTATCAAATGTTTCTAATCTCTCTTTGTTAGTACTTATGTTCGTCATTGGGATATTTATGGTTAAAGGGTAGAAAATATATTCTGAAGCTCAATAAAACGTGCGCAGATTGAACTTCTCCCCTACATGTTACACAAAGTTTTCACTGTTTTTCGACGAAAACAAATCAAATGAAAATCAGAAGCGTTTGGAGGTTATGTCCCTCCCTGCAACGCGCGCTTCTGCCCTTGGCGGCGCTAGCGAGCGGTCGCTCGGCAGCCTCCTGATGACGCACTTCCGCCGGAAGTCCACCTCCATCGCGTAATTGCCTTCGTTTTAATGGGAGAAATTCAGCCTCTCGTGCCCTTTCTTCCGCCTAACAGCTCAATTTGAGCTCCTCGAGCGTAGAAAATGGCGCTGGGTATTACGTTGACTTTGCGCTCCTCGTTGCGTTTACATGAGCTGTCAGTTTCGTGACATGAGCCGACCACTTCACTTCTCGTTCGAGAGATGCGATTGACAGTGAAGAATTAGGTTATTTACGTTAACAAAGTCTTTTGAAAATACTTTAACGATCAATATAAAAGTTTTACTCATTAATAGTTACTACAGTTTGGTAAGTAATAAACGCAGTTCAAGGTAGTTGCAGGGGTTAGCTAGTAGGCAGATCCCAATCGCAGATAGAATATGCGAATCGGGTGATACAGATGTTTGTTCTTTGTCTTCTGTATGGGTTATGGGAACTTCATAACAAACTGTTGCTAAGGAGTCTACAAGTGTAAATGTTCTTCGTATTGCTGCAATGGACTCGTTTGATAACCATCCGTTACGATTTCATGATGTTTAATAACCACCCGTTAGCATGACTAGTTCTTAGTAAAAGTGAAATAGGCGTTTGTTTGCGAATCTATCTCATATAGATCGTCACACTACTCGTAGAGACAGTTACTAGTTAAATAAAATTCAATGAATCATTGTTTAATCATTATAATTTCCATTAACGATCAGAGCAGTTTATTGTGAACGTAGGCAACTGTGTTTATTTACAGCACGTTCCAAAAATAATTTTTGTAAATTTTTGGTAACAAAAATATTTTACGACGAGGCATCTTTATATGTTATGATTCTTTAGGATGTTTACTAGGTGAGTAATATTCTCTTCCTTCGCAATTATCGTTTCAATAGGAAAATTCTCTAATGCCAGGTATTATATCCACACTTTTCAATGCCACTTTTTAGCATGTATTTCCTTTCCTGGCATGTACAATTCCTTTGAATTTGAATGATTTATTTTAATGTCTCCTAAAAACATTTGCCTGAATATCACAGTCTCTCGTGCTAGTCTTCATTTTAAGTGAACTCGAGTGGAATCTAATGTTTGGAACAATTTATTAGGTTTATTCAAAACAAGAGGACATTGCGGTCCAGAACCAGTGAGAGAAATCTCGATCGACATCGGTCATTGACTTACAAGCACTTCATATTTCTTCCATAAATTTCTTTATTCGTACCTAATAGAAACGAAATGTTGTTGAACGAAATTAAATCAATGTAAAATTTAACACCTTCGACAGATGACGATGATTCACCTGCCTGTTATTTTACAAGCGATCTATCGAAAAGGCAACTTCTACTATTCCGAAAGTTATCTACGACCGGTGTCAGAAAGTTGAACAACTCAATGACACGTTTATTACTTGAACATTATTTTACGAAGAATAAACATTAAAATATCCTCCACCGTTCTCTCACAGGGTAAGTTTACAGTGAATGAAGTCGTAGGCTTCCGCGGCCAGTCATGTGCGTTATCTTGGCTGTCCGGGTGACGCCGTGTCGAAGGCTGTGTTGCCGACGTTCCGACGATCTTGTCATGGTCTTCCTCAGGGCTGGTATGGTGAGGAAGACTACGACAAGATGGTCGAAACGTCGGCAACACAGCTTTCGACACGGCGTCACCGGGACAGCCAAAATCACGCACACAACTTTACAGTAGATAGTTTTCATACACCATTCAGTCCGCTAATAAAATCAAAAGGGAGTTTTCCCTACTGATCTCTTTTGACGCGACGTCAACCGCAACTATTTGAAAATAAATTCAAGGTAATGATTTATTCCATTCTACTTTTTCATAGTAAATTATTATAGGACTTGAATTTCTTGCTTTATTTTCGATTGTAGTTAGTTTCAAAATTAAGTTGTTGTTCGTCAGTAATAAACACTCTTCTTAGACGGCTGTTATCGATCCACAAGAATTTAAGCAGGTGTGTACAGCTGTTTTGCAATAATTTATATGGCTGAAATGTTGTAGATTGTTCAAATAAAATTGCCTTTCGCGTCATTCACTACTCGATAAGGGTTAATTGTATTCATGAAGATTCTATCTAATGTAATTTTTATACAGTTTAGCTAGTTTTGTTTGGTGTTCGGTTAATGTTTCAAAATTGAGAGTGAACTGTTCAATCCTGCTTTTCCCTTTTGTTTATTTTCGTATTCGCATACCTTTGAATCCATTGATTGAAACGGTATTATAAATTACTCATAATCATCGCTCACACGCACACGCCTCACGCACTCTCGCTCGCACACTTCTTCTCAAGTAATCAGAAGTCTGGCCTTTTTTGGCAGTCCAATACTATGATAGGATAGCCCTTAGATATTATGCAATAACGTAAACATCTCAAGTCATTAAAATATTTCAATTCAAATAATAATTAGTTATGAGTAATTAAGTATACTAAATAGCTTGCTATTGCATTCCTAATAGCAGGGCTCTACGTTTTTAGTAGGGTGCTTAAATATTTACAATTGTAGTTAATATTGTTCTAACGATTGAGAATGTTTTTCCTTTGAAAAAATCTTTAGGGTAAGTTTACACACAAAGGTTTCATGTTTTCTTTCTTATGTTCTTGTCCTAGGTTTTAATGAGACTTAAACTCACTTTCACTTAAACATTTTTTGTTGATATTCTCCCAATTTAAACGTTTTATTATAACGAACATTATAATTTTCCATAAACAAAACTTTTACAGTAAAACCTTCGGGAGAAAATATTCCTTGTTTGGCATTGAGGGGTTTGGATAGATTTTTATATGGGTGCTAACTACAGATTTTAATAATTTATTTTTTTAAATATCTGAACTGAATTTAAGTAATTTAATTTTGATTACAGTAAGTAAAAGAGGGTAAAACTGAGAATAGATGAAGTACTCGTATATTCTGGTATGCTTTATCTTTGTTTCAACCGTAAGATTCATTACTTGGTTTATCGGTGTTAGACCTAACGTGTAGCATGCAACCCCAGAAAGATTAGCGCAAAACACGTTCTTGTGGTTTATGGATTTGGTTTGCTAGGTATGAAATACATATTCAGACGTTGAATTTTGGAAGAAAATTGCGAAATATAAATTTATTCTCAAACTTTTTAAAGTGTTTTATGTTATTTCATTAAAGGTATCTAAAGCAACGTCTAGCAGTGGGAGATCTAATACTATTTCTGTCATTCATACATGGTAGCTATACAATTAATCTTCACAAGTGTATGGTACTCCAAGACGAAGAAGTAATGTTGCGATATTCGCGCAACACAGCGCACGTTTCATTCTGGCTTGAAATCTTCGAACCGGTTACTACTGACTGCTTGAATTGAATTGAAAATTGAATATGCTTAAATTTTAACGTGGCGAGACTCGGGGCCCATCAGGCCCGGCCTCTCCGTCTGAACACGCCAAATTTTCGCTACGCTCCTTTCATATAAGCCGAGAAAGATGTATTCTTGGGCGAGAAAACAGGCGATTTGAATTTAGCTACAGAGGCGTCATTTTAGGCTTGAAGGATCTTTTACCATCAAGTAATATCTATCGACTGGGACAGACGGTTTACTCCTCGAAGGAAGGCGTCGAAGGATTTTTTCGCCTTTAAAATCCCGGCTGTCGATCGGGTTTTGGCGGTACAACAGTCAGGTACGGCTAACGGTTTAACAGCCGCGGCGTCTTTGGGAGTTTCCACAGCTTGCGCTGCACAGTGGGCGGGGGGCGCGGCATCGTAACTCTGAAAGGACCCGCTCCGGGAACTGGAGACTAATTGGTCTAGATTGCGTCCGGGCCGG